CTAGACCAGCCAGAAAATCTCTGTGCACAGATTTATAACTCATTTCAGCTGGTAAGAATACAATTGATTGAGTTATTCTGTTGATACTTCTTCCTGGACTTGGTAATCCATGGACTTCAGCATAATTTTCTAGAAAATTCTTTACTACTTCTGCAACATTTTTATCAATTACCATTTTAGTTTTCCATTGAGGCATCCTTTTAATATTACCATGAATTCTTGGTAGAAGGCCATTGTCTATTAGATGATTTCTGATATTTTCAAAATAAGCTCTGCCAATTCCTAACATATTGAGATAAGTTTCTTGGCAAAGAAGTGTATTGTGATCCCAATGATAGAAAGTTCTTTTATTAGATCTAGTTTTCTTTTTAAGACGTCTGCTGGTGCTTATTGATCCACCATCCATTGCTTTAAGTTGGGCCATTAAAAATATGTCTTGTTCTGATTTAGAAAAAGCTTGAAAGGATTCCCTTAATTCTGCAAATTCTTCCTTGGGAATTCTTGAAGAACAACCACAATTACAACCTTTTTCTAAAAAGTTGATTGCCTTTTCATATTCATTAGAACCATTATATTTATTATTACTTTTCATATACACTTATATATATATATATATATTAAACATGTTAGCTGAAATTGATTTTTTTCAAAAAACCATTTCAGCAAGCAATTTCGGGTTTAGGACATTCTTCATATTAGTAGACACAAAAAAACCACCCAGGATTTTGGCTATTGAGCTAAAGTGTTCAAATAGTTTTGAATACAATTTTGGCAACTAATAAAGTTAATTTTTGCAACTATGAAAAATTATTTCAGCATTTCAGATTTCAGCAACAATCATTTATTAAGAGGGGCAATTTCAGCTAACATGTTTAATATATCTATTTGTTAAAAAGAGCCAGTTATAAAATTGGCTGTGAGTTTTCCAAGGTTAATTATTTGATATGTGTCAAGTTATTAATAACAGAGTTATTCTTTGAGATGGCATAAAACCAGACAAATGAGCATAATAAAGAATCAAATGAGGCATTCTGCAACAAAACCAGACAAAGTGACCATTGCATTACACAAAATTACAAATACAGAATTACACACCTCAAGAACCTCCCATCATTGGTTATTGCATCCACAATATACTTTTTCAAAGTGTAATAAATAGTAAGCATCATATATATTAAAGCTTGTCTCAAATTAACATTTCTCAAAGAATATTTATTCAACAAATAACCAGCCAGTTCCCCCCCAATCAATAAAAGAAAAAATACTTTGCAATTTACATTGCTTTCTTACTAAGAAAAAATGATAGTTATTTAACACTTGACAGCAAAGAAATGAAAGGAATTTTAAAAAAATGGCTACCAGCAGATATTTAGTGGATAAGATATTTAAAGAGTATTAAGATAAACTTATTGCCACTGAAAAGAAGAAAATCCAAGAATTAAGTTCTTAGAATACTGCTTAGATTTAAACAGCAATAATAAAAATTCGCAATAAATTTGTCAGCAAAGGATAAAGTAAAAGAAAAATAATAATTAACTTATGACTGAATTCGAACAAGAAAAAAAAAATTAACTATGAGTCATACTGATAAGTATATTAAATTCAATTTTTTTTGTGCTGAATTCCTATCAAAAAGAGGCTAATAAATTTCCCGGTTTCTACTAAATATTATATTTCCAAAACAAATAACATATATCAATTCTTCAATTAAATCAATGTTACCATATGTCATTACTTCATGAAATTCTTTACTTCTTTTAACATTGCCCCAATTGTTGTGGACATATTTTAAAGCTGCCTTTTTCAAACTCTCATTATTCATTTCTAAACCAAATAATAATATCTCATTCCAATTGTCATTCCTAACTTGATTGGCAACCCTTGATTCAACCAGTTTTTTCAATTTTGGAATTTCTTTCATATCAGCTTCAATATATAGATCTTTTAAATCTTCAAATTCGAGACCATCATCTAGCTTATTTGTATAGATGAAATAAATCAAAGCTTTGAAACATTGATAAGTAACATCTTTAATTGGAATTATTTTTGCTCTTGATTCTGCCCATTCTCCATTAAACATTATTTTGAAGTACTTAGATCTTGTAGATAAAATTGTTTTTGAGGCCATTATATCTAGATTATTATCAAAACTAAAAGCAACATCACTATAAATTTTTTTATTAAAAAACGATTCTTCTAGAGTAAGCTGGTGCTTATCAATAACACTATTGCTATTGCTGTTTTTGTTATCAGATGATGATGATAAATTACTTTCAGTGTAGTATTTTAATCTGATTATAATGGCAACTTCAATTGATGTATTATTACTTGGGAATAATTGTGACAACTCAAATAACTCATTATAATCATCATCATTTTTTTGATCCAAGTAAAGATATGAAGATTTTACTTGACTATCATTTATTTGTTTTAAATTAACTTGATTATCATTTTTGATCACTTTAAAAACTTCTATCTTAGTACTAACACTTCTCCATTTAATTGAATTATCTTTTTCATAATCTGTTTGGAAACCATAGATGAACCATGAAACATATTTCTTTGATTTTTCATAATTGTGTGGCATTATTCCTAATCTCCAACAGTGCTTGTTATTTTTTATTGATGTTTTTGAATAGAATGATTCACTCCATATTATGTCAGACCATGGACATTTGTAGAAATGTTGGAAATTTTTAATTTGCCATATAAATGTATTGCTAAGAGACTCATCAAAACTATCTTGATCTTTATCATTGCTGAAAGAAGAGGAAGGAGAACTCATATAATATATATCACTCCTTAAATCAGTTCCATCAACATCGCTGTTTAAGTCAATTTTGTCAACAGTATCATCAACATTTCCAACATCTTCTAGTGCTTCTAGTGGTATCCGACTGAATAAAAATAGTATAAATTAACTATATATTAATATATATATATATATATATAGCTGTAATGGACGCGTAAAAAAAAAAGCAATAATAATAATATTCACGCGTTAGATAAGCCCGCATTAGATGAGCCCACATACAGTACCTGGAAGAAAGTATCCGAACGCAGTTTTTCGAAAATTCCGCAAAATATTACATAATAAAAAAATA